AAATACCAAGTACAGTGTGCATACTTGGAAGATTTAGTATAATTAAGATGTCAATTTTTCTTAACTGACACATAGACTTAGGGCAATTCCAGTCAAATATACCCAGGATTTGTTGTTGGTAGAAACAAGCTGTTTCTAAAATGCAGATGGAAAGACAAAAAAAAAAAAAAAAAGACATTTCATAAAGAACAACTAGAGCTTAAGAATTCCTGGGTTCACATACTAGTAAAGCATACGCTGATTTACAGTGCCTAATTTTAGGACACACTATAAAGCTACAGTAGTTGAAACACGGATGGACACAGATCAAAGAAACAAAACAAACAGAATAAAAAATGAACTATACAGAGAGAGCCAATAACCAATTCCTTCACTTTTTAATAATTTTAGTAAGTTACAGTTTACATTCCCATAGAACTTAACCACTTAAATGTACAAGTTAAGGTTTTATACATGCCTGGGGCCATACGAGCATCATAACACATGTACATTTTCACATTCACAGCCCTTAACAAACATACTGTACATTCTTCCTCAAACCTTCCTAGCCTTAAACAGATACTAACTCACTCTCTACGTTATAAATTTGTCATATTGAACACTGCACAGAAAAAAGTGGGGCCTGTGTAACTGGTTTCTATCCCTTGGAATAATACTTTCAAGATATGCTTTTCTCCACTGTCAAATGACATTCCACCACATGGAGATAATCCATATTATCTATTTCTTAGCTGATACTTGAGTTGTTTTCAATTTAGGCTACTATGCATAATGCTACCACTAGGGTCTGCACTAAGTTTTTGTGTGGGTGTACACTTTATTTCATTTGTATGTAATACTATCTCTAAGTCCCAGTGTTTACAATTGTTCGGAAAATTCTAATTTTCTGATATGTAACAGTTTATATTCTCAACAGTAGCATACAAAGGTTCTACATTTTCCACATTTTTTTAATATATAATTTTTATTCTAATCATCCTGGGGGGGGGGCACTTCTTGTGGTTTCAAGTGGCCAATTTATTTTGTCAAAGTGGAAAGTCAATTGTGGAGAAAGGATGCTACTTTCAAATACAATATTAAAACAATTGTGCATTCACTCATAAGAAGAGTGAACCTTGACTTAAACCACATACCAAAAGCAAAATTAACTTAAAACGAGCCAAGTCATAGGTGCTGAAGGTGTAGGTGAAGAATTCCTAAATATAATAATAAATACATATCCTACGAACGAAAAGGAACAAAGTGGACTTCAATTAAAAACTGTCCTGGAACAACACCATCAACAAGGAACAAAAAGACAAGATATAGAAAACACAAGCAAATCATATATTCCAAAAATATTCAACATGTATAACTCCCAAAACCTTTTCAGGTTACTGTAAAAACAGCCCTATGGGTCACTTAAGAAATGACTCCGTGGTTAAGAGAACTTGCTGTTCTTCCAGAGGAACCAGATTCGATTCCTAGTACCCACGTGGTAGCTCACAACTCCAGTTCCAGATCCATGCCCTTTTCTGGCCTCTGTGGTCATACCCATATGTGGTGTACATAATACATGCAGGCAAAACACTTACACATATAAAAGTCAATCTCAAATTAATAAAATATTTTTTATAAAATCACAACCCCAATTTTTAAAAGGGGCTAAAAACTTCAACAGGTAAAAAGGCTACAAGCTGCAGATGAACACATCCAACAATATTCAAGATCACTGGTCACTGAGGAGATGCAACTCAAACCCCTTTCCTTCTCTAGAATGGCTAGAAGAATGCAAAATCCCTGGAGTTCTCACCACTGCCAGTAGAGAGGGAAAGGTAGAGATGAAAATGGTGTGCAGACAGACAGTGGGTCTGTTGCTCCCTTCTGTCCCACAGAAATACTGTTTAAAAGTCTGACATCTCTGAAAATCTTAACAAATATTCACTAAGGGACCCAGCACAAGAAAGAGCTGTGTGCAGCCTAAAGTCTATGTTTGGTATGCTGGAGCACCTACATTCACACTTACTCCAAGTGTCCTTCCAAAGCGGTAAGAAGGAAACCTATGCATGAATATCAGAGGATACTCAGCAACAAAACTGAATGAACTCTAATACAAACAACAATTCTGATAAAGCATTAGATTGAGCGAAAACGCCATTCTCCAAAGAGACAGGAATCCGTTTGTAAAATATTCTAGGAAAATGCAAATTAATAGTAATGGAGAATAAATCAGTGATTGCCAAGCCTCAGAACCTGGTGTGGGGTGAGCCTACACACAGGTGAGCATGAGGGAAACCATTAGCAAGGATGATCCTGCATCCTGACCTCAGTACCTATGTGCACTCAACTCATAGTGGTGATGGTTAATTAGATTAATGTACACGGCCCAGCTCACAGAATAGTGTGCCAAACAAATTTCTAAAAGAAGTATGAAAAGATGGTATGTTCTTACTAAATGGCAAAAATCAGGTCAGCACAAAGGGAGGGTGCTGAGCTTGCCCTCTTCCCACAGCCACTGTCTCTGATCTGTGATTCTGCTCATCACTCGAGACCTATCCTGCCTCACTCAAACCCTCAAATGGTGTGATGGCAGGCCTCTATCAAGAGGACAAGCTGTAACTTCTATATACAAACACCTCTTTCAACCTTGCCATTACCTGGCCTACAATGAACCATCTGACTGTATATTTAATTTGTTATTTCTTTTGCTTTAAGAAAAACATAGAACAGTAGTTCTACTTATCTACAGTCCACTGTCAGTTACCTATCAAATATGAAATGGAAAACTCCAGAAATAAACTATTCATAATGTTAAATTGCATGAACCTGAGAAGTGTGATGAAATCTCATACTGAGGAAGCCACCCAACCCACTAAGTCTTCCTATGTACAGAACACTCACTTGTCACCTAGCCTGTCTGGTTATCAGCTCAAATGGCATAGAATAGCTGTGTTCAAGCACTCCTTGTTTTAATAATAACTCAGGGCATAAGAATAATGATACCACATAGTGGAAAGGCCAAAGAGGACCCATAAAGGGATTCAGTTAAGAAAAAAGATGAATGTTGTCATTCTAAATATGGAATAAAAAGAATGATATGCTGAAGTTGCTGTAAGATCTATATGCAAAACTGCAAAGAAAAAGAAACCCATGTTGTTCCAAAGCCAAACCTCAACTGGGAAAATTGCACCCTGTACTCATGCTAAGAGCCTAGTTAAGGCAGGAGGCTTAAAGAGAGAGAGATCTGGATCAGCCACAGGGAACTGGATCGCATGCACCTTTTATTATTAAGTGTCCAGTTTGACAATACACCTAGACATGCTCTTCAGCTACTATAAATTATCCTAGCACTGTGGGTGAAAACTTCTGGGCCTTCTCATGTCACTAGACTCTATGCAGTTAGATATGTGCCCTCACAATTTAGATAAATACCTGTCCAAGTCATACATTCAGTCACTTTCCAAAATAATATGAACTCGGAAGTGATTTATTTTAAAAAAAAAATCTTTCTTTCCTCTAGAGCTCTATCAACCATTAACTAGTATTGAAGACTTCTTCACTGATTTCAGAATCAAAGTGAACAAACTTTCTAGACTCCAGTGGATATGACAAATTTTAACAAAGAAAAGCCAAAGACTAATCACTGCCAGAAAAATATACATATGGGCCCAACAATAGGATTCTGGTTAGTGTCACGAAAGATCAAAATATAAATCAATTATAAACTTGGACTTGATTTGTAATTAATCTCCAACTATAGTTTCCAGAATTTCACAGACTACCTGAGTTATCCAACTAGTACCTACTCCTGAATAAGTAAAATTACTTCAGCTTTAGAAAAGTTAGCTGTATTTAGTATGCCCTCATTTATATAGGAGGATCCTCCAAATTTTATTTTCAAACACATTTACTAAAATGTTGAGAGCAGGTAGGGATGATAGCTCAATTTTTATATGATATTATAAAAATAAGAACAGATTAGAAATTAAGTAAGTCTACTGTCAGAATGCAACTAAGCCAGAGGTCAAAGGCGTGTTGTTCTATGTTCTATAAGTACATAGAACAAGACACTGGGTAAGTAAAAATAAAATGGCCTTACAAGATGAGTCAAGACCTCAAGCTACCTACAAGGGGCACATTTTCATATCTTTGATCTCTTTAATAAAATAAAAATGAGATTTCCTAGAAACCAAAAGCACATTTAAAACTTCCTAATTTTTATAAAGAAGAATTTCTTTGATTTCATAACAAAGAAAATAAATTACTCCTGGGCCCCAGAGTATTAAAAACAGAGTCATGAGGTCTTTTCTGAGACTGATACTCCAAACAAGGACCCATGCATGGAGATAACTTAGAACTTCTGCAAGAAGTAGCTTAGTGTCCAAGAGGGTTCCCCAGTAATAGGAACAGGGACCGTCTCTGATATGAACTCATGGGCTGGCTCTTTGATCACCTCCAACTGAGGGGGGAACAGCCTTACCAGTCCACAAAGGAAGACAAAGAAGCCAGTCCTGATGAGACCTCATAGACTAGGGTCAGATGGAAGAGGAGGAGGACCTCCCCTATCATTAGACTGAGGGAGGAGGACCTCCCCTATCATTAGAAGAGGGAGGGAGGTTGGAATTGGAAGGGGATAGAGAGGGGGCTACAGCTGGGATACAAAGTTAATAAACTGTAATTAATAAAAATAATTTTTTTTAAAAAAAGCAGAGTCATATTAAGCAACAAGACAAGTATAAAATGTCCCCAACTTCTGTCTCAAGGTCTAGCTGCTGAGCAATGTAATGCCTGTGGTTCACACTTCATACCTTTGGAAACATGGCATGTGGGAAGTATTTCCAACCTGAATCATTCCATCCTCCATTCTCAAACACTGCTTTTCCTTAGATTACCTATAATCCAGAATAGCAAACAGCCTGGACTAGCAAATCCTGAGTTCCTTGGGTGAGTCTCCACCTCTGGAGCCTACACACTGATGCAAATACAATGGAGAACAGAACATCTTCACAAGAGGTACCTACGTTCTTTCCGATGCTCAACTAAACCCACAGCCTGCTTTGCTGAACACTTTGCAAACCAGTTGTCCCCAAGTAAAACAGTGACTTCATTAGTGTGGACAAGTTTTCCTGGCATGAAGGCAAGAGGTCCAAATGGTACCTATTGGTTAAAAAAGACACAATGAGAAAGACAAAAGTTATAAACATAATTTTAAAAATATTTAGCATGAGAAACCCTAAATTACTGAGTTCTTACCTATGTACTGAAAAAAAAAAAAAACCAAAATATCAATTTCACAGAAATTTAACACTGGATTAAAATTTCACCAGAAAAATCAATAGAAAATTGTATTAGGCTAATAATCTATGTTAAAACAGGAAAATAAATCCACAGCATATTTCCATGACAGCTCTCAGAGATTGTCTCTGAATACGTATATATTTCATTAATTCTTAAGTCTAAATGAAACCAAAACAGTAATGAAATTATAGTCAGTGGAGAATACTTTTCTGGTAACTAAAACTATGTTTTTAAGGTAGAAATGAATAATTTTACTGTATCTACCTATCCATATCTAATCAAGTATAATAGGCCAAATCCTCAAGCATACTGATGCAGTGAAGGCTACAAGCAAGGGCTTGGGACAGATTTTGTGTCATGAGGAAAGTCATTCAAAAAGAAACTGCAGCATCTCTCACATAAAAAAAAAAAAAAAAATCAATGTTCTGGGGTTTAAATTTGAGTTACCAAATGTGGCTTATTCTTGCTTTGGCTAAAAGGAAATAAATGAATGATATATTCCTATCATAATTAGTTTATATATAAAAATATATCTACACACCAAGCACATCAGATTTTTGCTAATACCTGAGATTACATCATAATAATTATATACTAATTATTGTATTGTTTTTGTTTTAAGGCCTAACAAAGCAAACCTTCCTTGCTATGGAATTACCTCTGACAGTGTACCAGCTAAAAGTTTGTGAATGGATACACAGCAGAGGGAACGCCTACCACTTCACCATTAGACTGTCTAAAAAGAACACAGCAAGCATACCATGATGTCGTAAGACAGCTTGTCAGGCAAGCTCCTCAGTCTCTCTTGAAGAGCACTGTAGTCGTTGTCCACTTTCTCCCTGACAAGAACACCAAAACAAAGTGAGTACACAGACCAGCAAAGAGTCCTGCTGGCTGCATCCAACAATTTACACCACCACATAACATGGGTTTACCAGGTCCAGCAATGGCACTGTTTTTCCATAAATTCACTCAGAAATTAAAACTAATTCTGAAACAGAACACTCACATCTTGATAGTTAGCTTCTAAGGTAGAAGATGACCCACTCTAAATGTTGAAATTAAGGAAATGTGGAAGGGCTGATATTTAGAGGGAGGCATGAACTCACACTGAGAAGACACATCATACACCTTCTGAGTAAATAAACAGACTCACAGTGGAGACTGTGAGCCCAAGATGGCATCAAGTGCTTCACTCCTCTTCAGAAAACCTGGTATTATCAACTCTTCAACTAGTCTATGAATGTGCACATGGTAAGAAATCCAGTCAAGAGCAGAAAAAAAAAAAAAAAAAAATGAAGCAGCAGTAATGCAGAAAACATTTCAACTAGTCTCTGAAATCTGTTTTGGGGAGTATCAAAATAGAGCTGCTAGTCAGGGATGGTAGCACATGCCTGCGACCCCAACACTAAAGAATAGGAAGCAGGAGGATCAGGAGTTCTAGGTTATTCTTGGCTGCATAGTGAGTTCAAGGCCAACCTGCTGGATTACATGAGATCCTGTCTCAAAAAAAAAAAAAAAAAAAAAAAAAAAGGGAAAAGGGGAGAAGGGACACATCCATTTAAACAATCCTAAGATTTGACTGGATGTGACTCTGCCCAAGTGCTTGCCTATGCTGAGATGGCACCTCTTTGAAGACCAAGTTTCCTAAACACTCTTTGCTAGGATGGAGGTTGCACACAGATCTAACACAATGAACTATCATGTATGTATATGTATTATTTTAAATGTAGGTGAGTTTGCCTGTAATGTATGCAGTGCCCAAGGAGGACACAAGAGGGAATCCACTGGGCCTGGAGTTACAAGCTACAATATACGTTTTTGGGAGCTGAAACCAAGTCCTATGCAAAAGCAGTATAGGCTCTTAACTACTGAACCATCTCACTAGCCATAAAAATGTAAGTTGTCTTTCTTTTGTTTCTTCCCCCTTCAAGACAGGGTTTCTCTGTGTAACATCTCTAGCTGACCTAAAATTCACTATGTAGACCATGCTAGCCTCAAATGCTCAGAGATCTGCTTGTTTCTGCCTTTTGAGTGCTGGAATCAAAGATGTGCACCACCAATCCTGGCTTTAAGTTTTTTATCTTTTTATATGAACATTTTGCCTACGTATATGTCTGTGTACCACATGGATGACTGGTATCCTCAGAAGTCAGAAGAGGGTATAGGATCCCCTGGAATTAGAGTTATAAATATGTGAGACACCATATGGTTGCTGGGGTAGAGCCTGGGTCCTCTGTAAAAGCAGCATCTCACAAGCCTCAATATAAGTTGTCTTAAGACCTAATGTTACAGATTGGTTAAGATGAGCAGAGTCTTCATTTGCTCAGCAAGTATTAACAGATCTCTGTCAACTTTATTATTTGGATACATAAATGCTAGGTGCTTTAATTTTACTAAAATATAGCACCCAAAAAATAATTACCTAAATTACTGTTTCTTCACATTAAAAACAAAGCTCGAGTCTAGTTAGAGCAAGCCTCTCAAACTCTTACTCCCGTGCCTGTCTTCATCAATCGTATTTGACAGAGATTACATTCAGTACCCCCACTGCCCCTTTTCCTGGTATTAGAGATTGAACCTAGGGCCTTAAGCATGCGAAGCAAAGGCTCTACCACTGACTTTCACTCCCATCCCTCTTTTTATTTTATTATTGTTTCTTTATTTTGAAACAGGGTTTCACTAAATTACCCAAGCTGTCCTTGAACCATCCTCCTACCTCAACTCCTGAGTAGCTGGGATGAATGGCCTGTGCCACCAAGATTACAAGCCTTCAATTCTTAACTTCAAAGTTTCAAAAAGCTTACTTCATAACAAATAGCTTCACACAACATTTCTAAAAAAAAAAAAAACAACACCCAAAATATATGAAAAACAAAAAAAAAAAAAAAAAAAAAAAAAAGCTTCTTTTGATTCTTGCTGGCCATGTCTACATATCTCAGCAAAGCACCTTTGGTTTTAAGAAGGTAGCAGCAATGGCAGTACAACACATTTATAAATATCCCTAGCCTTTAAAGCATTAAGATCAGGACAGACCCTATGGGAAATACTTATTTTCATAGAAGTGTAACAAGTCTGAAGGAACAAGCTAAATGAAGTGTGTGAGTATTTAAAGGTGAAGTATGCCAATGACTTGCTCCTGAAATGCCTCAGACTGAAGCCGACTAGTAAGACATGGGTGGTGCATAATCAAGGTTTACCTGCACAGTCCAATTGTTCTGTGTGGATGAAGATTTCTGTAACAGATTCTTTAAAGGGATACAGAAGAGCATGAGAAATAGTCCACTTATTTAATCTTTCTCTTATGGAAAAAACACTTTAGTAAGGAGAAAGTAAGCACTATAGCTCTTGTTCCATGCAAGCGACAGGCTCATCTCCATTTTTACAGGGTTGAAATGAAATCTCAGAAGAGTAGAACCTTCCAATTGTGCCTAAGTAGAAAGACAACAGGCAGAAAATACTAGTACTAAGTTGTCTTCTTGAAGGAAGTCTCATCATTCTCCTTCCCTTTATCTTACCTACCAAACAAACGAAAAAGCAGAAAACATGAGATGCTTAAAAAGAAAGGGTTTACATTAGTGCAAACATGGGTTTCTGAGAAACAATGAAACCTAAAGCTTCTGAAATGTACAGATGTCAAAAGAACCTACTTTTTAAATTTTACTTATTTATTTTTGTTTTATCTTTACTCTAGAAGTATCCTACAAACATCTAAGAAGGCCTACTTTCAGTTCAATTCACTAGATATTCACCCGCTCCTCTGCAACAGAGCCTTGGGCCACATCATGGAGGCCATCTCTCAAATCTAACAGGCCTCTCTAAAATTTGCAACCCATCTGTATTAAAGTTCCACTGGCTTGAAGGGTCCCTGGGACACCTACAGAATTAGGAAAATAAAGCAAAGTTCAGTTCAGGCATAAATATAGGCAGGGAGGTTCTCTATCATTGCTACAGTAAGAAATGCCAACTTTCTTCAGTGTCCTCTTAAGTCTAAGGTAGTTGTCAAGATACATGACAAAATATGAACATTTCTGAAAGAAGGAACAATTCTTTCTGTGAACTCCTGGGGAAGGAAAACTCCTCATTCAAAATGTAAATGTACTTGTATAATGTACTTGGAATACTTGGAAATCTAGGGGAGTGATAGTTGGATCTGCCTCTCAATAATTTGTTAAATTGATTCTGAAAAATTACAGGTTTTATTTTTAAGAGTGTTTTAAATCGGAGGCATTGTTTTGGTTTTTTTTTTTCCCTAAATGGTCACAGCAAAATGCTTAGTGACTTCACTTCATTAGATAATTAAAATCTACCAAAAAATTTTAAAGCAAAATGAAGACATATTCCTTTTATAACTGTATCACACCTAGGAGCTCACTTCATCAGGAAAGTTGATGACCTAACACATGTTCTTTGTATTTCATGAATCACCAGAAAAAGATTTAAAACAATCTAAAAATAAAATCCGTAATTTTTCAGAATCAATTTAACAAATTATTGAGAGGCAGATCCAACCATCACTCCACTAGATTTCCACCATTTAATTTTGCACAGTGGGTACAGCCGAAGGGACAAACAGTGAAGTTGGAAGGGACAATGTGTTTCCATGCTGTCTCTACAGTCACCACATGGACCTGAGATTTGTTAGTTAACCTAAGTGCCTGTTTCTTCATTGATAATTAATACTTTTCTCTAAGAAGACAATCAGATGTGAATTAAAAGTAGAGGGAACTCTGTAAAATTACAAAAAAAACATACTGGTCTTTGAAAGAAATCCCCAAGTTGCCTCATTCAGCCAAGTTTATATGATATATTTACAAGTGATTTCTATGACCTGTCCATTTCCCTAATTTCCTGATACATGTTTCTGTTATGAGTTAAAAAACGGAGCATGTCAGTAGAGAGCAGAATTTATCTATCTCAATGTTTGTACCAGATTCTGCTTAAATCTCCATAACTTCATTTATAAAGTTATAAGTATAGGATAGAAAGGCTACTGATGTAGCCTTTGCCACATCAATTTAGTTTCCTATAGTTTCAAAGTTAATTTTAGGAAACATTGATTGTTATGGCCACCCTGGAATGGTGATTTAGGTTGCTGTTCCTATGACAAACTGAGAATGACTCATTTTCCAGAGTTTCCAGGGATCTTCACATACTCCCACAGGTCAAAGCTCCTATCAGAGGAAAAAAAGGCAATACTGGCTCTTAATCTACTAAGTATTTAAAAATCCTCAAAATTATCTTTAACTCAAAAGTGAATAAAAATAAGTGGGAAAACCTCACCATCTGGTTATGAGTTAAAGTGAGTTATTAAAAATAAACTACAAGTATGTCAATCTGTACAGTCTGAATTTTCCTGCACTAGGCAAACATTGACACCTCTCAGGATTTATAAAATGTTGGAATCTGAATTATTGTGCCTCAAAAGCAGAAGCAGTACTCTGGACTACAGGGACCCAGCTGTGAGCCATGCACTACAATCCTTACACAGCAACTTGTGAGAACATTACCAATACTGTGTGTTGTTCTTATTTGTAAAAAATAAATGAAAAATGAAACACTTCAAGGTGTAAACTGTGGTTTTTCTACTGATATAACGTTAAAAGAAAAATCTCAACCAACAAACCTGTAACTTCCCTAGATGCTCACTGAACTTAAGCTACTTACCAGGAGCTGTGAACCAAAGTACTTGGATGTTAAAGACATATTCCAAAAACTTATGAGACAGTAGAAAAATTACTTTTATTTGCGTATGCATGCAACTACTTGTCTATATGCAAATGTGCAGGTAGCCAGAGAGGTCAAAAGAAAATATGAGATCCCTGGAGCTGGAGTTACA